TATTTGACAACCTGATGTTCATGCTTTACCCTTCTGAGTGCTAAGATACTGCTTGTGAATATAATGCAGGGGATGAGTCTGCTGCTGGAACCAGAAACGTGGTGAAAAATACAGCTGCAGCATGAAAAGCTAGAAAATCAAAGAGGTAGTGACAACAGGCCAGGCACAAGTCAAGCCAGCTTCTGGGAAAGATCAGTCCAGTGCATACAGGAGGGGAAGAAATCTTGGGCCAATGAACTCGCATAAATTAACTTTTGACACTCTAGTCCCCCTTGGGACTTCAGACACTGTAACACTAGCAAAATGCAGACAGAAGCTTCAATTCATAGTCTCTTTGTTTAAAAAAAAAAAAAAAAAAAAGAAAGTTGAACAGAGAAAAAGGCCACCTGAAGTGCGTAAAAGGGAAGAGATAATGATTGCTGAGGAATTCTTTCCTCTGTCTCACTTCTCTCTTGTGTGTTGGAAATTTCATCCCAGTAAGCCATACTTTCTTGTCACAGGCTTTACTTTGATGCCAACCTCCCTGAAGAACAAGATCTATGGACAATAACCTGATAGAGTACCTTCTGCAAAAAGAGGACACCATTCCCAGTCAAAATCTCCTCCACTGCTGTTCTTCAGACTTAGCGATCTTATATGATCATCAAACCCTTCCCAGAGTCCTCTCAGAGCAATTTGTGCCCTGCAAAATGCCACTTACCTTCCAGCTCTCTGATCCAACATAACGCAGTTGTTGCCTCCCCTGGTTTTCTGCAGTTTTTACCTGCAGTAAGTAGTACCTAGGTAGTACCTAGTAGTATCTAGTACCTAGGATGGAAGTAAGTAATGAGCTTCAGGTCTACAAACCATATCTCAGAGCTTGGAAGCTCTGAGGTGTTAGCACTAATTCTAGAAATTGAAAAGTCTCTTATTCATATACATTCTTGTTTTTGTTGGTGAACATAAAATACATTGATTAGCGGGCACTTTCAGAGTGTTCTTCTCCTACCTGTTAAGGAACAAGGCAAATTAAAAGTTAAATTTGCCTTCATGTATTGTGTATTAATAGATCAATTCTTACCTAGTACCAGTGGAAGAGGGACAGCACTCAGACTGTTTGCTAATGTGTTTCTAATATAAGACAGCCCTTGAAATGCAACATTGTGTTTAAAAGTGACCTAAAAGCCATTTAGAGAGAAATGTAGATGGGATAAAAATGCTGATGAAGTGTGTATAAATATTTACATGTTTGTTAAGAAGATGAAATTTAGCACTAATTTTAGCGCTGTGGTAACACCAAAAAGGTCAGGATAGTTTTATGGTTATTCTGAACTTTAATTTGAGTGACCATATGGTAAGCATCACTCAGCTCCAGGTCCTCCACTGTCCTTGGAGAGCAGTATATGTGAAGATGAGATTTGTGATCATGCAAACCACTCTGCACTGACAGACTGTGTCACTGGCAAATTGTCACCAATGACTCAAGATGAAATGTCTTCCCAAATTGCCATTCTCTCTGTGCTTTGCATAGTTTCAAGAATACAGCCTGTGAGAAGGCAAGAATGACAAATCAAAACACGCAGAGTAACTTAAATTCAGTGTCATGAGGGGATCAGGTATACATGTGTACTGTGGAGACATCTATGGCTGGGTTCCTCAGGTCAACTTCCTTTATAGGCAACAGGGAGGAACAAGCATCTCCAGGCTAAACAAAGAAGGAACAAACATCTCCCATCCTAAATAAGATGTCAAGCATAGATCGGACAAACCGTATCTGAAAGTACATCTGCTAACTAAGCACTTGGGATGACTAGCTTAGATGTAGATTGTAGACATTGGAAAATCAGGTGAGGATGAATCCCGCTACATCTGACTTCTCGTTTTTCAGAGTATGAATGTTATGGCAATACTTATTGCTCTAGGTGCTTTTGATCAGTCCCAAAAGTTATTTGTTTCTGGCCCTGTCTTTTCTGTTGAGGTAAGCATATGTGTAGCTTTTCTGAGTCTACTTTAAGTAGATAAATGTTGCACCATTCCAGTGTTGTCCCTTACTGCATTAAAATTTGTCATTTTCCTTGAGGAGAGAACTGAACATACAGTGTAGAATTTAATTTCATTACACTTCTAGATGTGTGTATCAGCAAAAGCTTGTTTTATAGAGCATACTTTATGCGGAGTTGAGGGTCATGAAATATGAGGTGGTTTAGCATTTCAGTGGAAACCATATACCACATTTGCTATGTCATTATGCTGTTGAAGGAGAATAAGAGAAATTAGTTCACCTACTTACTGTTTATCAGGAACCCAAATGCTGTACTGTTTACTGCTTTTCTGAGCTAGGTATATGTTTCTACATCTTTAGAGGAAAAAAGGGATTGAATCTTACTGAAACTTCTTAGTTTCTCAGTCAGGTGAAATGTAGGTTTGGCAAGCTACAAAAATATAATTAGAGGGGGCAATACACAACCCTACTGGAAGTTTAGATCCTTCTGCTAGAAAGACATGCATTTTTGTTATAATAGACAAATCTCTTTGTAATGAAAGCAGAGTAGTCTCAAAGCAATTCAGATGCATTTCTGTAGCAATGATAGCAAGATCGTATGACTCAGTCAATTTTTGTTGCATACAAGATATCAGGGCATTTTCACCCAACAGGAAATAATTTCCTTTCATGCTGTTTATCATCAGTGTCATGCAATCTGTCAGTCTCAGTGTCTCATATTTTCCAGCATCAATTGTGTGAGGAATCCGAAGCTCAAGTCTCCAGTATTTCCTGGAAGCAAGAAGCTGGGGGAGAAAATGAAGAGAGATCCATCGTAAGTCTACGCAGCTCACTCCGGTTCCTGCATTATCCTGAACTTAAACAGCGGCCTTCTGACTCCTGAAGCAACGTTCATCAGTTCTTTGCTCTGGGCAGCACTTGTTTCACTAACTTGAATCACCTCAAAGTCAAGTGCCTGGACTCTCTTTTCCAGTTAATGATGAGAAATCGCCACCTTCACAATGTGATTCATCTCTGCTGGTTTAGACATCTCAGCTGGGGCTTGCACTCCACCCACCTGTTTCTATGGGATCTGTGGCTAAATAAAAGACATCAATGTACTCATGTGTATGAGTTCACAAAAAAAAAGAGAAATAGAGATTTTTTTTTTTTACTTGAGTGAGAGAAAAAGAACATCCTTTTCAAAAGTGAGAAAAAAGAGGCATGAGAATCAGTACGTGTGTGAGAGAGAGAAGATGACTGAAGTGAAGAAAAAGTGAATATTACCTAACATACTGAAGAGCAATCTCACTCTGGATCTGCTTCCATTTAGTTTAATGGTAACAATCCTGCTTACTTCATGGAATAGGATAAAGCCAAAGGCAAAGACAGCATTGCAAATGAACATATATCCATCAGAGAATTAAAGATCACTGTGATAGGAGTGTTTAGAAGACTGAAAAATCAGGCCAGCTTTAAACATTAAAATTTAACTTTACTAAATTAATTAATTAACAGCATACTTCTGAATAATGGCTAAATCTTACACAATATTAATCATCACCATTTTATATACAAACCTATTAGTCTTCAACTCTTATCCTGAATTAGCTGTGAATACACAATATCAAGGAGCTGATGCTGTGTAGTTAGCATGGATGGCTATGGTCACTGATGGTCCTTTGTCACCAAGGTTGAAGTGATCAGGCTTGAGAGCTCGCCTATGAGAGATGTCAGCACTGACGTGGGCTTGTCTTCTACAATTTACCTTGCTCAAGCCTCATGTTTTTCTTCTATTGCCCCCTCTCTCCTCCCAAAAAGGGATCTTCTCTGCTCCTGATACTGTTTATCTTGTTTTTGATTTTGCCAGTCATCCTTCTTGTGTATTTGGGAGAATGTCCTGCCTACTTGCTGTTCCTTGCGCTTATCTTATCCTTTGTCTAGTAGCTTTTTGTCATGTATTAATCCTACATACAATGACACACATCTTTCTTTGTCCCTGTGGTGATCATCTTGCTTGCATACTTGAGGTAAAACGGTTGCACATTCTGTCTGGCTATGCCATCACCATGTTACGAAACACTTAAATACTGTTGCCAGTTATACTGGTTTAGTGCTTATATTCATGATCAAGGTCAAGTTAATATTCACTATACCCAGATTAGTACATTTATAATTTGTAGGGAGTCACAGACTTCTGTATTGGCTATTAGAGAGTGTCTGATAGGCATCAGTTACAGTTAGGTGTTCTTACTGTGATGACAAAAAACTACAGGGATGAAAGGAGAGTCAGAGTTCAAGCATAGAGAGATGTCTATCTTATCACCTAAAACTACTGCCTGAGCAGCTGGGTTCAAAGTAAAAGTCAGGAAAGTCACAGGAAGGAAGTTCACATATTAAGGCCGTAAAGGAAGAGAGACATTTCTGACATACACTAAGGTTGTTGCTTACCCTGGTCCAAATGAAAACTTGGGAGTGCTGACTCCTCAGCAAATCAGAGATACCTTGGACTCTCTGTATGGCTTTCTGTAAAATCTCAAATCTAACCCAAAGTCTGAGTTTTCATTTTGAAGGGGCTTTGAAGTTTGCTTCTAGACCTAGCAATTTCTCAGTTAAGGACCATGGTCAATAGGCAGGAGGATGATTTCCCTAGAAACTCCAGATCATCTCATTTAAGCCTTATGCAAGTGACCTTCGCCTGTTCTTAGTAATTTGGAAATACTGTAATATTACAGAGTCCTTGTTAGTTCCCCTCAATGTATACCAATGTACGTACAACCAGCTGAACACCCAGCACTGTGATTACCCAGGAACCCAAAGTCTGTCTCCTTTTCCCTTGTTCTGCTCCAGACTGACCAAGGTGTCAGCTGGGTCTAAACCAATCCACACAACAAAGCATTAGTTCTCATCAGAGGGGCTGATGCATCAAGTTCCAGATCTAGTGGGGATGAAAGCCAACAAATGAGGTAGAACTGTTCTTCTTAAGTAGCTCATTTAAAGCACTTTTTGATGAGGTTAGGGCACTGGGGTGCTGTGTTCATAACTACCTGATGTGCAGTGAGGCTAAATTAAGATTCTTATGCTTTTTAACTGCTCACCACTGTGAACGGTACAAACTGATACAGTCCTTAAGAATTTAATTTGGATCAAAGGCGATGCTTGTAATGTATCTGGGAACGTAAACCTTGGGCAGTTCTGTCCTCTAAATTCTCTAAATTCCAATGAACGGTAGCTATAGGACTATTTTATTTCATGATGCAGTACTCATCAGTGATTATCTTGAACTTTATCCCTTTTTGATTTTATAAAGTTAACTGTTGATGAAATCAGAATAATACAGTGCAGGCAGTATTGCTGGAACTCGTGTAATGATTAGCTTGACAACATACTCTTAAAGTGAACGGCAGAAATTTGCTCCAAAATTTATTCCTTTTTTTCATGCATCCGTGACAGGAAGAAGTAATAATAAGTAAAGAATAATTTTGTGAAATGAAGCTTCAGATTAATTCTATACTTTCTCTCTCTAATTTCTGAGTGGGCTCTGTGAAAATCTCTCTTGAAACTCAGGGATAGTTCACACTTTCTAACTTTGGGTACTAAAACCTTAGGTACTCAACCTAGCTTAGGAAGTAGTGTCCCTCTCAGTCTAAATATAAACTCCCTTTAGAGAGAGAGAGGCTACTTTAGGGGATGACTTAAAGCAGAAATATAATTTTGAGTGCTCTGAGGGTGCATACAGGAACACAGCTGTCTCATGGTATCTCGCCATGGCTTGTTTCCTCAGCAAGGGAGCCACTTGGCATGTACAAAAGCAGAGCCTGTGGCAGTCAGCAATGCAGGTACTACTCACACTGACTAGGGCTCTGGAGTGAAACTGGGCGAGCTTCGACGTGGCAATACCTTTATCTCCCCATTGCACATACAGGAAGCTTAGGAAAACCAGGCTTGGTTGGAAATACTGAGTGTCTAAAAGCAGGTGGTGGGAAAGCCCTCCACCATGTTCATTGTTGGTCAATGATTTTCCAGAATGACAAGGCATGTGATTGTACCATGCCTGTTTTGGTAGTATCTGATGCTTCATGCATCCCTGTGCAAGTTTTAAAAGGAGCGACAATACCTACCGAATGAAACTGTAGCCTTTTGTAATCACTTTGCCCTCCTTTTGTAGAAAACTAGATGGCTACATTAAAAGAGCCACCTTTGTCACGTGGAATATTTGGGGGGATGATGTAAACTGTTAAAATTACTGTGAGATAGAGGTATAGCAGCTGAAGGTTTCAGTTTTAACATAGTTACATAGGCTCCTCTTTCATACCAGTAGGAGTTCAAGATTAAATCTGACATGTTTTCTCTGCATTAATACTGCTATCTAATTTTCCTTTTTTTTGGCACAAATATGTACACTAATAGTACACTAAATGTTAGTCTTCAAGCTTTTTGCATTTTATTTGAAAGTGAATATACTTTCACAAAAAGTATTATCAAGTTAAAAATGATTTAGTACTATAACTTTCTTCTAAGCGCTAGGATTCATTATTTACATGACTGTCAGCTTCACTGTCATTTAAGGAGCTCCTATGTATTCAGTTTTGGGAAAGAGCATGAAGGAAGAAGGTTTACGGGAAAGTCAACCTGTTGCACTGAGTCATATGCAAACATCTTCCGATCACACCTGATATGACATCAGCAAATTTCGAGGTGTGGGATAAAACACAAAAGTGGGTGAATGCCAGAACACGCTAGAGAGAATGGAAAGTTAATGCGAGACTGGGAATCAACACAAGGTAAAATGCTCATATTTAGTAGGCCGGGAGTGTGCTAATTCACACACATGCAGTTCATCCTCTTGGCTGGGATGTGGGAATGTGGCAATTAATGCATTTTTTTCTTTCAAAACGTCATTCCACCATGAAAAAGCAATTCTTTCCTTTCCTGACAATTAAGAACCATAAAAGCTGCTATGTACAATTCAGAGGTTCACTCAGAAACGCCTGATGGGTTCCTGTGTGACAGCAGGCTCTGGAAGCATCCCCTGCCCTTCAGGCTGTGAGGTCAGGGCTAACGTCTCACGCTAAAGCCCGCTGGAGCTTTCCTGTCCGTCCTTTCACATGTTGCTGGGCAATGTGATCATGCAGAGGTCAGACACAAATGCCTGGTGTGATCCCACACTTCCGAATGGGATCGAGGAGGGCGTGGAGTCCCCAGGAGCCACAGACCCCCTGTTTGTCTGCCTGGGGGCAGCGGTCTGGCAGCCTGCCCTCCCACGGGGCTGCCTATAGGCTCTGCTCAGAGCCAGTACACAGCCTTGATCCCATTCTTGTAGGAAGGCACTGATGGCCTTTCTTTCAGATAAAAGGCTTCACTCTGGGAATAACAAGTGGTGGAGTTCTCCTTTTCAACTATTTTCTTACCTTTTAGCTCCTTTCTCTGCCTGTCTTATTCTGGTAATATTTTTTAGACTCACAGCCAAAAATTTCAAATCTGTTATTTGAATTTCATAAATTGATGTTTCTATCTGTTGCTGTTTGAACATTCAACCTGCATTTACATGTGTAAATGCCTATTTATATATGATCAGCATATTTTTAAAAATTACTAGTGATTTTCATGGTGACAATGTACCATCTTAGTGCCAGTAGTTGAGTGGTAAAGGTTTTTAGTGACAGAAGAACAGTGGAATTAGACTTGAATACTTTCTGGGAATTATTTTGATGCTTGTTTTTGCTTCTGTAGGTTTTTTCATGGGTTCATTTTTAAACTATTCATAGGCAAAAAGAGACATGAAGGAAGAGCTAGAGTAGAAAAAGACCATAAGCCCTCACAATTCATATTGTACCAACTGTTAAAAAGTATCTCCAAGCCTTCTAGGCTTAAAAAAAAAAATAGAGGTATAGCAAAATAGAGGTATACCTAGGCTTTTACTTCATTAAATAAGAAACACAGACTAGACATGATGTTTCTTGCAGTGGATACAGAATTTTAAAGATACCTGTTAATAGTAAAATTCCAGAGCTGTGAAAAAAGGATTTGAAGAAAGTAAGACACAAGTAATATTAATATTAATTCCTAGAAATTATTTTGAAAAAGTCTTAAACTGGAAGTGAAAAATGAGCTCATTTTTCATTGTGTAAAAGCTTA